ATATATATATATATATATATATATATATATATATATATATCGCAGCAGGAGGGTGTATTTATAAGGCTAGGCTTACGCTCACCTCACATCGTTTTACATTGTATTACACAATATACCTGCATCTTCGCCTCACCCACACACCAGCAACTTGCAAATTGCTGAGACACTGTTACTAAAGTCTGTCAATAGCACACACACACACATCACACCCTGTGCATGGTCTCTAGATGTGCAGTTATTTGCATAACACTCACACACACCGCATGCCATGTACACACACACACGCACCACATGTCATGTACACTCACTCACACCACGTGTCATGTACACACGCACACACCACATGTCATGTACACACACACACACCACATGCAATGTACACACACACACACCACATGTCATGTACACACACACGCACCAAATACCATGTACACACACACACACCACATGCCATGTACACTTACACACACCACATGCCATGTACACACACACACACCACATGCCATGTACACTCACACACAGGGTCGCGCCCCACTACATGACCACTGTACACATACACGCGCGTATTCTTTTCAAAGTAAACACATGGACTTATCACACATCTCACTCCACACACACACACACTACAGCGGTGTGCGCACAAGCATTGCATGATCCATTGCAACTCAGACTGACATCCTCCCACATCACACCACACCACATCACACCACACTCACACACCCCGTGCCACACAGGTACACTGAGGGCAATGTGGAGATCGATGTGCAGTTTGCGGAGGCGCTCTATCCTGTGAAGCTGGAGGTGACTGTGGGACCAGCCAGTGCACATCTCAGAGAAGTCCGGGTGCCAATGTGAGTGCATGCATTCTGTGTGTGGCATGTGTGGTTGGTGTATGTGTATGTAGTAGTATGTTCATGTGTATGTGTCTGTAGTAGTATGTGTATGCCTATGTGTATGTAGTAGTATGTGTATGTGTATGTAGTAGTATGTGTATGTGTATGTAGCAGTATGTGTAATGTGAGTGCATGCATTCTGTGTGGGGCGTATGTGGTTGGTGTATGTGTATGTGTATGTAGTAGTATGTGTATGTGTATGTAGTAGTATGTGTGTGTGTATGTAGCAGTATGTGTAATGTGAGTGCATGCATTCTGTGTGGGGCGTGTGTAGTTGGTGTATATGTATGTGTATGTGTATATGTATGTAGTAGTATGTGTAATGCGAGTGCATGCATTCAGTGTGGGGCGTTTGTGGCTGGTGTATGTGTATGTATTAATGTGTGTCTCCACTTGAACCTCCTTCGAGCGTGTTTATCGAGCTCCCTTATACACCCCACTTCAGACTACCCGCGATCAAACTCACCCACGATTTACCTGTCACATCCAGTCCGGTGGAGTCTAGCCGCCGCAGACAACCCGAGAACATCACATCCACAGACGGGCGACAGTGGAAAACAGTGTGGCGTGGTACCAGTAGTACAACCGAGATCAACGAGGCCATAAACGTTGAGCTATGCCCGTTGGCCATCTCCACGGATACAGTCAGGTGGGTACCTCACTGGATTGGGTAAAGGTTGTGTTGCCATGCCAACTGAATTAGGATGGGATTTATTTGGGCACTGCTCGTATGATTTGAAGGCTGTCCATTGGCTGTTGCGTGTATTTCCTTTGTTTTGATTGGCTGGGGGATTATCCCTTTCCTGTTGTACAGGCTCGTGTTTGACTCCACGGATGCTGACACATCGCATGGCGTGGAATTGGATTCGGTGCGGTGTTTTGGCAACAAAGAATTGGGTCAACAAGTAGCGGTAAGCTGAGTTCAACGCCAAATCTAGTCACTTTTTGGCTCAAGAATGTGCATATTTGTTGTTATCGCTTGTGCTGACTTGATATGTTTCATTGCATTTATGGGCTCAAATTTCAGCACTAATTTGCACCAGGAATTGGTCCGGTTGTTTTGCACCTTGTCTACGGGTGTAGATAGTGTACATTTCACGCTTACGCGCATGAGTCACACTGCCGCGAAAACATTTGTCTGTGAGACATACATTGGTATCATCGGGATGGTATATCTATTGGCAGACACTGATAGTCAGAGTGAGTAGTGAGCAAGTGCTCACTGTATGAGTGTACAGGTCAGTGGTCGCGAGCTATGTTCCTCTAGTGACTAAGCAAACAGTATCGCAATACGTCTATGGTCCATGCCACCCATCTCATCTGTATATGTACACTATAATCCCTACACTCTATAAACAGTCTCACTCATCCCGATCTGTATATGTACACTATAACTCTACACTCAGTAGACAATCACACTCATCACATCTGTATATGTACACTATATCCCTACACTCTATAAACAATCCCACTCATCCCATCTGTATATGTACACTATAACCTTACAATCAATAGACAATTACACTCATCCCATCTGTATATGTACACTATAATCCTACAATTAATAATCCATGCCACCCATCTACATATCCACAGGCTACTGTCACTGATCCTGATTGGCGTGTCTACTATCAACCGGGACAACCGTCAAACAGCACTAAAGATATTCTACTCAACTTTATGATCAGACCCTGTGGCTCGGGCGAGAGTTCGGCTGTGACCGTATCACTACAAAGCGTTGTGAGACCTGGTATGATTTTGTGGGTGTGTATAGCCGCCTATCTTTA